GTTTTTAATTACGTTTCTATTTCTCGCTGCTCCTAAACCTACTTTTTTCCTTTCTGTGACTTCCATTTCCTCAGTTTTATCAAAGGATATCACCTCTGCTCTGACTTCACTCTTCTCCCTTCCCAAACTTGACCTCTTGGTGAGCTAAGTCAGCTCTATACTATCCTATACTGTTTTCTCTCCCTTTCATTCTGTCACGTCTTGACAAACCATAATCCTGAATGACTTCTACCATTTATCTTCTTTGGTCTTATTCACACGTTGCTGAATGGAACGGGAGGGAATCATAAAACCATGCTGACTTGGTCCATCTCAAAATGGTGTTAGCTAGGGGATACCTAGGTGGCACAGTGGATAGAGCAGCAGTCCTGCAATCAGAAGGACCTGAGTTCAAATCTGGCTTCAGACACTTGATACTTACTAGCTGTGTGACTCTGGGCAAGTCATTTAACTCCCATTGTCTAGCAGAAAAAAGATTATATTAGCTAATCTCAAATAGGCCCCCACTATAGCAAAACCATCCCACTATTCATGTCTGATTGACTCCCTATTGTACAAATAATCTTTCTTTCTCTTCCCAAGTCTCTCATGCCACTTCCTCCCTATTCTCATTCCTTTTCTTCACCTCACTGGAAAAAATTGAGACCACTCTCTGACTTTTCCTCTCTTTCCTCTTTCTCATATACTTACCTTTCCAATCCTCTTCCACCCTATATCATCCCTCCCATACAGTCTGTGATACAGTGACATTGGCTTCTTTGCACAAGCCCACTCCGTCTCCCTCCCTTGGGCCACTTTTCAGTGGCTGTCCCCCGCGCCCAGAAAGCTCTCCCTCCTCATGTCTATCTCTCAGCTGCCATGAATTCCTTCAAGTCCCAGCTAAAATCCCACCTTTTTTTTTTTGGCAGTTGGGGTTAAGTGACTTGCCCAGGGTCACATAGCTAGTAAGTGTCAAGTGTTTGGTCTGAGGCCAGATTTGAACTCAGGTCCTCCTGACTTCAGGGCCAGTGCTGTATCCACTGCTCCCCTAGCTGCCCCTAAATCCCACCTCCTATGCGAAACTTTTCCTGATCCTCTTCCTCAGTTTTAGTGCCTTCCTTCTGTTGATCATCTCTAATTGACCTTGTACATAGTTTTTGTATGTAGTTGCTGTTTGTTTGTACATAGCTTCTTTGTCCATAATTGTTGACATATTATCTCTCCTATTTAGCCTCAAGTTCCTTGAGAGGAGATGGTCATTTGCCTTTCTTTATATTGGTAGCATGTGGTCTGGTGCCTAACACATAGTAGGTACGTAATGAGTGTTCATTAATTGGCTGACTGATTAATTGACACCTGTAGATATCATCTCCCACTATCTTTTCCTTCACTACCAGTGTCTCAGATAGGCGGCCCTTCTGAGTACCAAGACCAACCTCTAAATATTCCCTTATCTCCTTCCCATTTTCTCAGAAACTTGCCCTCCATCATCATACGCAATCTTTCTAATCTTCAATAACTCCCACATTTACATAAAGCTGTCAAAAATATGTCCAGATTTCTACTTCAAAATCCCTACTGTCTCACTAGTTCCTTCCATGCCTGCCAGCTACCACCCTCTATCTTACTTCTCCTTCTGTGGTAAGCTCCTTGAAAACACTAGTTCCAAGCAGTGCTTCCTTTCTTCTCTGTCCCTTCTAAACCTCTTCCAGTCTGCCTTCCAGCTTCACCATTCAGCTGAAATGGCTCTCTGCAAAGCCACCAAGGATCTCTAAATTGCTAAATCTGATAGCTTCTTTATGATCCTCATCTTCAGTCCTCTCCTTACCTCCACCAGAGCCTTTGACACCATTGACCACTTACTACTCCAAGATACTCTTTCCTTTCTGGGTTTTGGTGACTCTGCTTTCCCTTGGTTCTTTTCACCTGCTTGATTACTCCTCAGTCTCCTTTGCTAAATCTTCATCATGACGTGTCCCCTAACTAGGGGTGTTCCCAAAGCTCAGTTCTGGGCCATCTTCTCTTTTCTTTCTATGCTAGGGATTCTTAACCTGAGGCTCTGAACTAAAGTAAAGATTTTGTTACTGTATTTCAATATATCTTGTTTTCTTTGCAATCCTATGTATTTTATTGTATTCATTTAAAAAGCAGTATTATGAGAAGGGGTCCAGAAGTTTTACCAGACTGCCAGGACACAAAATAGGTTAAGAATTCTTCTTCCATACTCTCTCACTTGTTGATTTCATCAACTCACATGGGTCTGATTATGATTTCTATGCAACTTATCCCAGACCTAGTTCTCTCCCCTGAAATCCAGTTCTCCATTACCAACTGCTTGTTGGATGCTTGAGCAAGATGTCCTTTAGGTCTGAAATTGAACATGTCCAAACGAGAACTCAACCTGTTTCCTTTCAAGTTGTTTCTTCTTCTAAACTTTCTTATGCTGTTTTTTTTTTGAGGCAAATGGGGTTTAGTGATTTGCCCTGGGTCACAGAGCTAGTGAGTGTCAAAGCCTGGATTTGAACTCAGGCCCTCCTGAATTCAGGGCCAGTGCCTATCCATTGCACCACGTAGCAGCCCCTAACTTTCTTTTAGTGTTGGGGGTACTGTCATCCTTCCCACCAGTTAGGTTTATGATCTTTGTATCAGCCTTGATTTTTTCTTTCTCACTAACCGACATATCTAATGAGTAGCAGTTGTTATGTTTTCTTTTCTTTCTTTTTTTTTTTTTTGCTTTTTAGGCAATTGGGGTTAAGTGACTTGCCCAGGGTCGCACAGCTAGTAAGTATCAAGGGTTTGGTCTGAGGCCGGATTTGAACTCAGGTCCTCCTGACTTCAGGGTCGGTGCTCTATTCACTGCATCACCTAGCTGCCCCTATAATTTCTTTCTTTACAACATATCTTTCACATATCTACTTTTCTGTATTCACATGGCCACCTCTCTAATTCAAGCCCTCCTCATATGTCCTCTGGACAATTGCAAAAGCCTTTGAACTGGTCTTTCTGCATGAAGTACCTCCCCACTCCAATCTGTCATCTACACAATGTGATTTTTCTTAAACTGTAGGTCTGCCCATGCCATTCTCCTACTCAATAAACCTCTTCTTATTCTCTCTAGGTTCAAATATAAAGCTCTTCGTTTGTCATTTTAAATCTCTTCTTAACCTGGCTCCTTCATCTCTTTCTTGTCTTCAACTACTTTACACGTGGGTTTTGAGGTATGAGAGAAATGCTTATTAATAACCAATTATGGGGGAAATCTAAGCTCTTTCCTGTACTATTTTCTTGTTTGAATCCCAGCCTTTGAAGGACTTTACTGAACTCTGCTAAACATTTACCCCACCTAGACTGTGTCATCTAGGTGAATTCCTGCCCGTTGTGTTCCACTCAGGTGTGTGTGTGTGTCTGCGCGTGGGTACAAATGCTTTGACTAAATTGCGCAAGATTAGGGGCGATTTGGAAGTAAATGAAATGATCCAAGTCATATCCCGTAGCCCCCCTAGAACAGGTCTACCTCTCATTACGATACTCATTCTCTCTCATTACTTCCTAACCAATCAGAATCAACTGCCACCCTCAGGAACACCGAATCATCCAAGGGCATGTACACATTGAGTGCGTTCCATGACAGGTCCTTGCCATTGAAGAGTGTCACTGACCCCTGTCATTAATAATATGGTAGCATTATTAATAAACTGATTAATATCCAGAAGTTATGTGTCTCAAACCTTTTATGTGTCACGGATAGACTTAAGAACAGAGTGTTCTTTGAACAGGACAGTAATCTGCCATCTCCATGCCTTTCCACTGGCTATTCCAGATACCTGGGCTACTCTCCTGCCCAGTCTCCAACTTTAAAATCTCCGGCTTCATTCAAGACTCAGTCAAAATCTCTCCTCTTCTCGGAAGCTTTTCCCGGTCTTGTCAGCAGCTGGTGCCAGCCTCTCAGTGCCTGGCACATAGTAGGTGCTTAACAAATATTTACTGACTGGCTGATATCCCTTTTACATGCTCTCCCACCATCTCTTTCTTCACTCTGATAACTGATCATGAGTTGGCCCTTTAAATACATCAGATTTATATATGTTTTTTCCCCACTGAAATGTAAGCTCCTTGAAGGCAGGAATTGTCATTGGTTTTTCTTTGCATCTTTAGCACTCAGAACAATGCCTGTCACATACTATGTGCCTAATAAATGCTCAGTGATTGATTGATTCTACTGCATAGGATGACAGCTCTAGAGTTGGAAGACAGCTCAGGTGCTGTCTAGTCCAACCCCTTCATTTGACAGAAGAGGAAACTGAGGCCCAGGGAGTTAAAGACTCAAAAGTCAGTAAAAGGGAGTAACTGGGTTGGGATTTCAACCCAGTACCCAACGTGATTCTTACTCCAAAGTCAGCAGAGGCTCCCAAACCTTCTTCTACTGTAACACAATTTCATTTTACTTGCAATTTCTAAACAACTTGTGATTTTGAGTCCTCTTTTTCCTTTAAAGAATACTAACAGGCCCTGGCTACTGAAGGGAGCTATGGTTGGGCTCTAACATAAGAAAATAGGCTAAGGAAGGTTTTCTAGCTCTCACTTATTGCCTTTTGTAGGACTAAAATGTCCTGTCACTTAAGTTAGTTTTTGGAGCAGTTAGGTGTTACAGTGGACAGAGCATGACGCCTGGAGTCAGAAAGACCTGAGTTCCAATCTATCCTCAGAAACTTACTAGTTGTGTGACCCTGGGTAAGTCACTTAACCCTGTTTACCTCAATTTTGTTATCAATCAGATGAGCCGGGGAAAGAAATGGCAAACCAGTCCAGTATCTTTGCCAAGAAAACCCCAAATGGGGTCACAAAGAGTCAGACAAGACTGAAATCACTGCCGAATGTCAAAGTTAGTTTGGTGATGTCTGCCTGAATCCCTTAGCCACCTCTTTGCTGATGGGCTATCCTTGTGGAAATAAAAGCCAAATTATGAGGCTATTACTTACCAAATTTCTCAGCAGAAAAATGGAAGGACATCCAAATCTTACCTCTTGCCTGAGCGCAGCATGTCAAATCCTTCATTGATCTTATCAAAAGTAGAAACCTGTGTTATTAATGGATCCAGTGTAAATTTCTTGGCTATAACATCAGAGACCAGCGTGGGGATATCATCTTTGCTTTTAAAACCTGAAAGATGCAAGCAGAACACCATTATTTCATTCAGATAAGCAATGTGCATGAGGATGTAAAAGTGACAGCCTGTAAAACTAGCTTTTCATTTTCATTACATAACAAAGGTGAACGGATGCTTTAAAGCTCCTCGAGGTGATAGAACATTGTTTTGGAGAGGAAATCAGTTTCTTGTGGGGTATTTACATGCTAAAAATTGGACATGCAGAAAGCCAAGAAATGGATTCTTAGATTAAAGCCATGAAGACAACTGTAGAGTGTTTTGGCCTGAATAGCTAACACAATGTCTACTATGAGTGGGTTGCACACAGTAGGCATCCACCTCACAGAGTGTCTTAGAGAAGAAGCTGAGGATCATAGGGCAGAGGTTTTGTTTTCCCGACTGCTGCCTATTAAAGGCAAGGGCTACACAGAGAAACTTTGATCTGGAAAGTGAATGTCTGCCTAATGAGAGTATACATTTAGAACGGAATTTGGATTTTGAGTCTATAGACTACAACAGGGATAGGGAACCTATGGCCTCAAGGCTACATGTGGCCCTCTAGGTCCTCAAGTTTGGCTGTCTGACTGAATTCAGTTAGTAGCGTGTGACCCTGGGTGAGTCACTTCACCCTGTTTGCTTCAGTTTCCTCATCTGTCAAATGAGCTGGAGAAGGAAATGGCAAAGCACTTCAATATCTTTGCCAAATGGGATCACAAAGAGTCAGAGCAGACTGAAATGACTGATCAACAACATCAAAGTTGGTTTGGAGTGAAGTTTGGATTTAGTCAGAGGGCTGCACTTGAGGACCTAGATGTCTACATGTGGCCTCCAGGCTACAGGTTCCCCACTCCTTCCCTAAAAGATAGTGACTTCAAGTGCCTTATCAGGAAGGCAGTATACTTAATTATGACTGGTAAGCATGTAGCTGCCTGGCATCTTGCAAATCTGACAGAAATTTAATTAAGGCAAAAAAGATGGAGGAGTGAGAAAGGCACTGCATATATTCATCAGACTGGGTATTGTAGAGAGAAGTTCCTGGAAGATTCTCTCCCAGCTCACTGGCCTATTGTTTGGAGGCCTTCCATATGCAAGAAAAATGTCCACTGAGACCCTTGGAAGTCCTTAGGAAACAAAATTCAGTAAAACAGGCCTTAAATTTCTACAGAGAAACCTTCAGGTGTCAGGAAAAGGGAAAAGGAAACGCAAGCCCAGAGACAAGGAAGTAAATTTGGTCTATTATGTATCATGGAGACTAGTTACAATGAAACCCATGACTCAAAGGCTTCATAGATGCAGCCTGGCACAGAAGCTTGGTAAAGGAGTGGTGGAGGACTTCCATCACCCAGACATTTGATGGTGCTCTCTCTCTCTTTGCCAACAGCCGTGCATTTTTTACCCAGGAGAAAAATTTTAATTGGCACCAGGGAGCTGTTGGTTATGATAGTGATTGCTGCCCCTAATTTTCTGATGACGGTAAAGACGGTTTGCCTAGAGGGTAAGGAGTTTTTAATTCTAGTTTGTTAAATATTCTTGGGTGCAGCCATTTGTCTGAGTCCAAGTTTTACTGACCAAATGCTTTTATGAAGGGGATATATTCTGTGAAGTTTGGATTCAGTCATAGAGCCACACTTGAGTACCTAGAGGGCCACAGGTGGCCTCGAGTTTGCAGATTTCCCACCCCTGTTCTAAGTCTCTCTGAACAAGTAAACACTTTACTTATGGAAGTCGTTGCTCAGTTCCTTAGCCATTTTAGAGGATGGATTTTTTTCAAAAATTGCTTAAAAGGCTCTCACCAGCCTTCACCTCTAGGCCATTCAGCCTGGCTGTAATAGGCAGCCAAATCCTCTGCATACTTTAGTCTGCAGGACATCTCATCTTCTTTCACAGCTAAGTTTTTTTTCTCCTGTATTCTCCATAATATTCTTGGAGAAACTGACTTGTTGCAATAGTTGACTTTTCCTTCCTCATTATTAATTTCATCCTTTAAAAGATGGAGGGTGGTCATGCATGTTACTGGGGAGGCTGAAGCTGGTGGATCACTCGGGTTCAGTCAGGAGTTTTAAGCTACAGTTATCTGCTAACCAGGTACCCAGTCTAGTACCAATATGATGAGTACCCAGGAATGGAGGGCAACTAGATTGCCTAAGGAAGGGAGAGCTGGCTCAGATCCTTAACCTAGAGCAGGTTTAAGCTTCCGTGCTGATGAGTATTGGGATCATACCCATGAGTGGCCACTGCATTTTCAGCCTGTGTGAGATAGAGAGGCCCAATCTCTGATAACCAAATGGGAGAACCTAAAGGGGAAAATCCTTTTCTGGATCTGAATCTCACTAATGTAGAGGAACTAGTCAGAGTACACATGATGGCAACATTGTGAGGAAGTGTCCACTTCCTGGTATAATTTGTAGTAGAAAATGAGAAGAAAGTTGGGCATAGTTTGACATGCACCACAGATTTTTGGGAAACAGATTTCAAAGGGTTCATAGGAAAAATTGGCTGGATATTATGGACTAAAATTTACAGGGTAAGCCAGCCCTGTAGGGAAGGGAAACTCAACATTGAAATTCTGAAGACACAAAAGGAAAGAATTCCAATGAGGAGAAAAATAGTTTTCTAAAGAGACTGGTGTGGATGCACAGAACTGATTAAACTCATCAACCAGCTATGACTTTTAAATAAGAGGTACAACAAGTTTCCCTGATGAAGGCCTCATTTCTGAAATATATAGGAAATTGAGCCAAATTTATAAAAATAAGAGCCATTCCCCAACTGAGAGATGGTCAAAGGATATGAATAGGCAGTTTTCAGAAGAAATCAAAGGTATGAATAGTCACATGACAAAAATGCTCTTAATCACTATAGATTAGAGAAAGGCAAATTGAAAGAATCTACACCTATCAGATTGGCTAACATGAGAGAAAAGGAAAATGATAAATGCTGGAGTGGATGTGGAAAAATTGGTACACTAATGCATTGTTGATAGAGTTGCAGACCGGCCCTACCATTCTAGAGGACAATTTGAACAATGTCTAAGGGCTATAAAATTGTATATACCTTTTGACCTAGTGATACCACTACTAGCTCTATATCCTAAAGAGATTAAAGAAAAGCGAAAAGGACCTATGTTTACAAAATTATTTATAGCAACTCTTTTTGTGTTGGCAAAGAATTGAAACTGAAGGGGATGTCCATGAATTGGAGAATGGCTGAACAAGGTGTGGTTTATGATTTGTGATGGAATACTATTGTGCTATGAGAAATGACAGGCAGGGTGGTTTCAGAAAAACCTGTGAAGTATTATATGAACTGATGCAAAGTGAAACAAGCATACCCAGGAGAACATTGTGCACAGTAACAGTGATGTTGTAATGATCAACTGTGAAAGACTTAGCTACTAAGATCAAGACAATGTTGTCTCCCTTTTAAGAATGTGAACTTTTTTGGTTTTTTTTGTTAGGGCAGGGACCACTTTCTTTTTCCTTGTAGCACTAGCATTTAATATGGTGCCTGGCACATAAGTGTTTTAAAAGTGCTATTAGCTGACTCATTAAGGAAGTTTGAAATGTAACCTGAGAACAGTAACTGGCACACAGTAGATGTTTTAAAAATGTTTGTTGAATTGACTTGAACCTCAGTGAGTCTACATAATTGTGTCCACATCTCAATCACTTTGAAATGATTGACCTAGCCAGAGGTAAAAAACAAAAGAAACAAGAAAAACCCCACAACCCTAATTGTTAGCAATATTTTCAAAACCATTCTCTTAGTTGTAAAAAGTCACCTGCTTGAGTTTTTAGCAGACATTCTCTTCTCATGACAAACTACATACCTCCAAAAATAGCTCCTTTCCAGGTGCGTCCAGTCAAAAGCAGCATAGGATTGAAAGAAATGTTTTGGCCAATAGGAGGGGCACCCACCATGACACAAACTCCAAAAGCCTGATTGGTGGCTAGAAAGGCAGCTGTCTTGGATGAAACACACACATATATTTCATAAATAAGAGAAAAACAAAAGCTATTCTACGATTGTCACTATCCATGGTACTGTAATAAAGAGCTACAAAACAATTACCCACCTAGTTTGTAACTTGCTTCATTATATACACGCTAACCTCACAAAGAATCTCTCTGTGACAAGTCCTGCCTAATTCCTTTTCCTGATATCAGCAGCTCCTAGAAACTTCCACAATATGGCTACCAAACACTCTGGGACAAAGAGACACACAGAGAAAATCCTTTGAAAAATGCTTGAGCTTTCACTCAGAAAGAAGGGAAGAGTAGCTTGGTATTCTCTTATTAATTAGTTGAGCAAATAGTTATTTCCAAACAGGGAGATGATCTTGCCCTCCATGGAACTAACTGCAATGTGTCACCACGAAGTATAGTGGTCTGGAAGGAGCACAGAATTTGGAGTGAGGAGATCTCTGGGTTCTTATGCCAGATCAGACTTTCACTAGGTATTTGACCATGGAGAAGTCATCCAAATACTCTGAGATTCAGTGTCTTCACTTATAATATCAGGATATTAATAGTCTGTTATGTGATAGAGTTGTTGTAAAACTTAAAATGCTATATAAATTTCAGTATTTATTCTTATTATCATCATTATTTTTAGCCACATAATTTTGTGGGGCATTTAACTGAGGCAATAGTATTCATTTAAATTTTCTTTTCTGTGTGTTTAGTTATTCTCTCCTCTCCTCACTAGTTTTTCTGCGTTCATATCCCAGTATTGAAAAGAATTTTTCTTTAAAGAAATCAGATTTTGGTGCTAGTTCTAGATATGTCTGTCGTCTATTCTTGTGGCTTAGCAGTCAACAGATTGGCAGGAGGCTTGGAGCCCTTTATGAATTTTATGTAGACTCTGCATGTTTGAGGTTTTACAAAAATTTTTCAGATAAAGGAAGTCAAGTGAAACTGGTATATCACCTTAACTTCAAGTGGAAAGGTTGCTTTGTAGTTGCAGTGTTTGAGATTTACTGCCTAAGGTGAGAGAGAAAGTAGGGACCTTAATGGAAGGTCACATCCTGAGCTATCCAGTGGGTGGACAGAAGTGTGGTGAATTCTACTCACTCCCTCCAAAGAGAGACATGGTAGAAAAGTGCCTTCCACAGTATTCTCTTCTGGGCACCTTATGTAAAATCCTTTATGAATTTTAAAGTGTTTACTCTTATTACAGGAGAAAGAGGGCACTTATAATTATGATTTAAGATTACTGATGATCCAGCCCTGCTCCCAGGAGATTAAGAACTTATGGAAGAGAGAGTCATCAGGTGTTCAAGTGAATCTGTGATCTCACTGGTTTGAGTGTTTCATTCAGTGATGAAAATTTTGATCTTCACTGCGTCCACTCTCTCCCCCCACCATCTGTGTTTGTCATTTATCCTGAGGGCCACCCTTATTCATGTCCACCCACAAGTCTATAACAAGAGTTCAAGCCAATGTTCTGTAGGCTTTCCTCCATCTCTCCAGACATCCCAGTGTAGTACTTGGGTTCTCCAGTAGTCATTCCATGGGCTCTCCACACGATCAGCTAGTATTTTTTTCCTTCATCTATACTTCCCTGATGATATCTTTTACCTTATTTCATCTTTAGAATTTTTTAATTAGGATATGTTGCTGTCTGCTCATCCCCACCATGAACCTCCCTATTGACTTTCTGGGAAAAGTTTTTGTTTAATTTTTCAACAGTTTTCCCATCACGCACATCCATGTAAAAACAGTAGAATATTCTTATTAAAAAAGATGAGCTTGGTTTCTGGGAGAAGTTTGCAGGTATTAAAGAAGAAAACAGTGCTTTACTATTGTTAATGATATCACTAATAGTGTTTCTTAATAATAATGCGTATTTAAATTATTCCTTAATGCTATATCTTGCTGAAACAAATATCTAGATCTGTCATTGCAGCCATCTGGGGAGTTGCATGATAAATAAGCTTCTTGCACCAGTATTCATCAGTAATTGTTCTGCATTTCATAGTTTTAGAAAATTACCTGGGGTCTAAGATGTTGTTAATTGCCCAGGATCTCATATTCAGTATTTAAAGACACAATACTTGAACTAGTCACCTTGACTATGAGGCCAACCTCTATCCATTCTCCTTTCTTGCCCCTCTCACATTTATATAATACTTGAAGGTTTACTTAAAACATTCCTCAAAATATCTTGTGATAGGTCATACGAGTATCATCAGTTCCATTGTTCAGATGAACTCACTGAGCCTCAGAGACAGAACTTTCCCATAGTGACACAGCTAGTAACCATCAGAGCTGTGATTTGAACCCAGGTTTCCTGACTTCAAGTCTAAAGCTCTTTGTACTACATTGCAAATGCAGTTTCTTTCAAGTCTTTGGGTCTGCTACACCAGCACACTTTCCAGTGCACAGTGAAGAATTATGAAGCTTAATTCTTCATGAGATTAATCTAATAATCCAACTCCCCAGCCCTGACTATCTTTGCCCTTTTCAGTTGAAGAAGAATGTCAGAAATTAAAAACATTGCTTAGACAATACCCTAGTACTGTGTATACAGTCAGCAGGCAAACTCCAAAAGATGCAGATGATTTTGTCATTTGTCCCATGGGTTTGCACTAACACCCTGGCCTTAGCTCATGGATGGAGAAATCTGAGAGCATCATGAAATACTTACCAGTGTGTCCAGACGTCCAATAACTTCAAATGAAAAATCAACGCCATCCTCGGTCATTTCAACTAGCACATCTTGGATTGGTTTCTTGTAGTCTTGAGGGTTGATGCACTCAGTAGCACCTAACTCTTTGGCCTTTGCAAATTTGTCCTTGTTAATGTCCACGCCAATGATCCGGGAGGCTCCAGCTGTCTTGCAGCCAATGATCACTGATAAGCCAACTCCTCCCAGGCCAAAGACAACACAAGTAGAGCCAGGAGTGACCTGTGTGGTCAGAAAACATGAGAACTTAGATTTACCCACCCCTGGGTAGTGTACTTATACAATCTTTGTAATTCTGAAGTCAATCTAAAATTCCCGTGAATAATTTAGTAATTTTTTGCTGTATAGAGAGCTAACCACAAAAGCCTTAAGGATTCAATAGGCATTCAACCTCTCTGAGCCTTGTTTTCTTCATGTGTACAACAAAGGGGTTGAATCCCATGTTCTCCAAGGTGTTTTAAAGTTCAAAAAAATTTAATCAGGAAAGAGGTGTGAGTCACTCAATTCCAGGATACTTGGCTTTAGCCATTTTATGCAGGAAGCAGAGAAGTGTAAGAGACTATGAGAAGTGACCAAAAATGTCATTGAAGGGATGTGAAAAAATTGCAATGGTGCTCCCACATTATCAACTTGTCTTATGGCTTACTTCCAGGATGTATAATTTCAATATTAGGGGTCATTCTCCATACTGGTGCCAATTACCAGCCCCATCAAGCCTTTTTATGTTTTCTTCATGACTCTCTGGGCCTGAAAAATCCCTCAGCCTACAGCCAAGCTGATGATACACATTTCCCAGCTTAGTTGGGATGGACTTCCAAGGAGAAATAAGTGACCTAGGCAAGTCAGTGATGTTAGTGGATAGGACGCTTGACTTGGAGTGAGCAACACCTGAGTTCAAATCCTAGCTTAGACACTTACCAGTTGTGAGACCCTGAGCAAGTCACTTAATCTTTTTCAGACTCAGTTTCTTCATCTCCACAATGAGGAAAATAATAGCACTTAGTTCATAGGGTGTTGTGAGGATCTCGTTGAGATAGCATCTCTGTCTACCTATAGCTTTCTACCTATCTACCTACGTACTTATTTATCCATCTATCTGTCCATCCATCTATTGTTTATCTATCTGTCCATGTTAGTACTCTGTCCATTTTGCCATCTATCTGCCTACATGCTTTACATATGGGGATACTGAGGCCCAGAGACATGAGGTGACTTGCTGAAAGCTGCATCATCAATGATATTTGAACTTCTGATTCCAGAAGATTTTTCTCATTAGACAAGAGGCAGCTCTGAAGTGCTGCCCCTACAAATTAAAATACAATTGGGAAATATTTAAAAAAATAGATAAAAATGAGATACAATAGAATATTTCTTTGTGATTTTCTCAGTCACCAGGAGAACTTGTTTCTACTTGAATTTCACAACACACCATTAAACCAATCAGCTTGAGATCTTTTTGACTTATTTATATTTTTGTTTCACTTATATCAACCATTAGTAATGGTTGATATAAAATATTGAAATTTTATCAATTTTATAATTGGCATTTGTCTGCCTTGAAATGTGATGACCTTGTTCTTGATTCTGTGTTATGCAACAAGTCCTTGCCCATGCTTCTATTGCACAAGGAGGCACACTAAAGCTGTTGATGATTAGCCATGTCCTTGGGTTGCTCATTTGCGAGTGAAAACATGAGAACAAAATGCTGGTTATAGGATCATAGTCATATGTTATTAACTTTTTTATTCCCCCCCAATTTGAGTTCTACACAGTCAGTTCAAAAGCAGTAGCACTGTATCTATGTTCTATCAAGACCACTGAGGAAAAGATAATACTTGTGAATATGACTTAGAATCACAGAGGTTCAAATATTATAAGCAGGGATGTGCTGGGAAATGGTAAGCAACTGACTTTCTGGGAAAGGGAAGGACACAGGACATGCTTGTAAAGTTTAATTTGCCTTCTGAATATTTTCCCTTTACTTTCTTAAGTCTAGAAGCCAATGAAACAGTAAATGAGGTACTGACGTTTAAGTCAATTTTTGAGGTCTAAATGTTCATACTGAAAATTTTAAGCTGGCTTCAGTGTACCCCTAGTTATAATCCATGATGATGTAAACCAAGAATATTGTTCTCAGGTTGTATGACCAGTTTAATCATTAGGTAACTTCCACTGTCCGTTTCTCAAATTCTCACCCAAGAAAGATACCATAGTGGTTCCTCTCCTCTTCCCTCACTCCATTCTGGTACTTGACTCTCACTACTTCCCACCTTATTCCACCGATGAAATGGATTGAATGCTGGACTTGAAGTCAGGAAGACCTGAGTCCACAGATGTGCCTCCCCTGGTGTTATGACTAGAACCTGATATACAGCTGGTACGTTGATATAGACAGAGCTACCTAAATGGGCAACTTCTGTAAGCTCTTTTTATATCAAAGAATCACTATCCAGCAGATGGTACCCCTCTGATGCAGAAGATGAAGAAAAATCAAGAAGCCTCTTGATGAGGCTGAAAGAGGAGGGCATAAAAGCTGTCTTGAGTTTGCTTAACATTAAAAAACCAAAAAACTAAGACTTTGGCAACTGGTCCCATCACTTCCTGGCACATAGAGGGAAGAGAAGTGGATATAGTGTCAGATTTTATCTTTTGGGTCTCAAAGACCATTGCAGATGGTGACTGCAGCCTTGAAATTTAAAAAGAAATGCTTGCTCCTTGGAAGGCTCTTATGGAAAATCTGGATAGCATACTAAAAAGGAGAGACATCACCTTGCCAACAAACGTCCAGATAGTTAAAGCTATGGCTTTCCCAGTAGTTATGTATGGCTGTGAGTGAGACTAAAAGGAAAGCTGAGAGCTTCAGAATTGATGCTTTCAAATTGTGGTGCTAGAGAAGAGTTTTGGTAGAGCCTTGGACAGCAAGGAGGTCAAATCAGTGAATACTTCAAGAAATACTTAAATACTTAAAGAGATTAATTCAGATTGTTTTCTGGAAGCTGAAATACTGAAGCTGTAGTTTAAATACTTTGGCCTCTTAATGAGAAGATGGGACTCATCAGAAAAGACCCTGACTTTGGGAAAGATTGAAGGAAAAAGAAAGGGGACAGCAGAGGATGAGATGGATAGATTGTGTGATGGAAACAAGGAACATGACCTTTGATCGACTTTGGGAGATAGTGGAGGAGAGAAGTGCCTGGTGGTGCATGGGGTCAAAAGAGTCGGACATGACGGAACGACTAAATAACAACAGTAGATGAGTGGGGGAAGAGAGAAATTTGGTGGAAACCATGGGTGATGATAAAGAGGTCACAGGCAAGAGAGTGGGACAGGGGACTGTAGAGCATTATGGATCATTTCACCTATAGGCCAATGGGAAAGGACGTAACTAGATCTATAATGAATCATGTGGGCTGGTGGGGAGGAGAGCCTTAGACTGTGGTCTGTATTGGTCTCCTTCATGGTCTTCAATCTTTAAAGGCGATATCTAACATTGGATGAGATCTGATTGAGGTGCTCTGACTCCAGCCTCATTGTTCCTATTGCCCTGTTCCAATTTCTTCTACTGGGTCTTCAACCTTGGCCAACACCTATGTGGTAAAAACAACCAGTCCCAGGTGGCACCAGGAAGGCGATCCTGCATTTTGTGGAGACTTTTGTCTTTGTGTTTATTTATTTTGTCTCCCAGGTACTTCGTGGAAGAACCAGCAACACTAGGTACTTTCCTGTGCCTGACTAAAGTAACAGCAGCGCGGGGGGGGGGGGGGGGGCGAAGTGGGGGGGGAAGTGGGGGGGGTGGGGGGGAGGAGGTGGGGGGGGGGGGTGGGAAGCAGCAGGAGCAGCAGCTGCGGGAGCTAACTTCAGCCACCGGTGGATCTGTTATTCAGCTCCAGAGGCTCTTGCTGGGTGGGTCTGCAGTGCCTTCCAAACTCTGGATGTCTGCGTGATAGTGCAGAGCACAGTCTGGCTCTAACCATAGTCTGCTGTGGGCTACAGTGAACCTTGTGCCGGAACACTAATCCCTTCACCATCCATCTCATCCATGCCTCAGATGGTAGAACTCTGACCTGGATAATGGGGTGCTGGGATTAGGTGGTGAATTGTCACATGGGGAAAATAATTTTGATCTGTAGAGCCCCAGCCCTCATGAGATGCAACTATGCTAAAACTAACAGATTCAAAAATTGCACATCTATCCTTTTCAGACTCTTGCTGGAATGGAGCCGAGTTTTGAGTTGGAATTATTGGAATCGAATTAGGGTCAATTTTCCTGCTTCTGCTATTCTGAGTCTTCACTTCTTATTTTCCTGTTCTGTTCTTTTTCTGAAATCTCCTGCAATTCAAACTGGTGTGAGAAGTTGGGGATGAAAATTGCACTCCAGAAATTAACATTTTGGAGAAAGAAAGGGAGTGGAGTGGGCAGGGTGGAGGAAAGTGCTTTGGAAGTCGGGTACATAGGAATCTACACAATCTGGTGATGGCCAGATGCCTAGGAAATGTAGGTTATGAGAGTTCAGTGGTTGAGAGAGCTTGCCTTCCACCCCCTACCTCAGGATCTCAAGCAACAGAATGCTATGGATCTTCAATTATTGCGTAAAACAGTAGCCTGTGGGTTGCCCAGAGAGACCACACTGAGCCTGTCCCTGCTAGTAGACGTTCTCATTTTCACCTTGGAAGGAACAGTAAAGTTTGTTAAAGCTCTGCCTTTGGCAGGATGAAGCTTGTTATCTGGACTCCATTGCTCTACAATCACCTAGTCCAATTCTTACTTTTTTTTCGTAATAGATAAACTTAGGCCCAAAGAATGACTTACCTAAACTTACATAATTTACATAATTTAAGTATCAGAGCCAGGATTGAAACTTTTGGTTTCAGTTGCCAAATTCAGGGGTCTTTGCACTAGTCTACCATGTTCCCTTATAAGAAAATATTTCCTTTCTAGCTACTAGCCCAAGTATGTATTCTTTGGTCATGCACCTTGTACCTTGAGGTCTGCTCTATTGAGTGAATTAGATGGAAGCTCTCTCTCTTACCTTGGCAACTTTTACTGCAGAGCCATAACCAGTGGAAAATCCACAGCCAATCAGGCAGACTTTTTCCAGAGGAGCAGATGAATCAATCTTTACAACGGAGATTTCATCTACCACTGTGTACTCACTGAAGGAGCTGACGCCCAGGAAATGATGAATTGGCTTCCCTCGGCAGGTAAATCTGGTGGTACCATCTTGCAAAGTGCCTTTAGTGGCACTTATGCTAATGAAGGAAACACACACACACACACACACAGATACACACCATGAGACATAGGCATCAACACAAATACAATTCCAGTGCTACCCCAAGGGAAAATAGTAGAAACCTACTCATTTTCAGTGCAAAGTTGCCATTCGGGTGCTTACAAACTTTGCATTTCCTGCACTGTGGAGTAAAGAGTGGGATGACTTTGTCACCTATGGGGAGAAGAGAAATTATTGTTAAAAGTCTAGAATTACAAGATTTTAAATTTGATGTTCATCTTGTCCAAGCCCCATCTTATAGAAGAGCAAAGTGGGTCCCAGTGTTAGGAAACAAAATTATGTCACACTTTTTTTTTTGTTTTTGGTGAGGCAGTTGGTGTTAAGTGATTTGCTCAGGGTCACACAGGTAGTTAAATGTCATGTGTCTGAGGCTGGATTTGAACTGAGGCCCTCCTGACCCCAATGCCAGAGCTTTATCAGCTGTGCCACCTAGCTGCCTCTATATTACACTTTTTGAGGCATGTAAGTTCTGCACCCATTATCTCATTTGATACAACAACCCTATAAGTATGCTCCCATTTTGGGGAGATGGGGAAATTGAGACTTAGTGCAGATGATTTATTTGAAGTTCGTAGCTAGAAAGTTGCAAAAATATGATTTAAACCCAAGTCTTCTGATATCTATCTAGAACTCTTTCTACTGCCTCCCCATATACATAAACAAAGAAAGAATCTCTAGGCAGTAGCACACTACCTTTGACATGAAACATTTCCACATCTCCCAAGCTGCTAGTATCTCTCTGCTTCTGTGTATTTTTGTATATGTTGGTTCCATGGTAGAATATAAGCCCCTTGGGGACAGGGATTATTTTGCTTTTGTCCTTGTATCCTCACACCTTAATATAGTACCAGGTACATAATAGTTGCTTAATAAATGTTTTTAGATTGATCAGAGGCATACCATGGAAAAGGCACTGGCTCTGGGGTCAGAGGTTCAAATTCTTCCTCAGATATTGCCTATTTGTGTGTCCTTGGACACATTGCTTAACTTCCCTGGTCCTCAGTTTTCTTATCAGTAGAGTTCATTGGCTTAAAAGGATTCTGAGGCCCCATCCAGCTCTGTGTCTCTGATCCTGGGATTGACTGACTGATTGCATTGTCTGCAAGGTAAGACTCATGGGAAATGAATCGTGACTGGCTCTGTGACTGTTCTGTCATGGGCAATTGGTCCAGCAGAGAAGTGCAAAAGTTCAAAATTCCTCCTGTGAATTTCAGCACATGGGTCTTAGGATGGATAGGCCTCTATAATTCTGCCAGGTGTTAGACAGATGTGGTATGTCATGTTGGTTTGGGGCACATGGGAAATGAAAAGTTTTCGGTGCAAGAAAAAGCAAAATGTCTTAGTTTTTCTCGCTGTGTTAATGCTTAGTTGTAATATTATGTCAATACTATGTTTTGTTGGATATCCTTACTCCTTTCTCTCTCTTTCTTTGTTATTTATTTATTTTTTTGGTAAGGCAATCAGGGTTAAGTGACTTGCCCAGGGTCATACTGCTAGTAAGTGTCAGGGGCCGGATTTGAACTCAGGTCCTCCTGACTCTAGGACTGGTGTTCTATCCACTGTGCCACCTAGCTGCCCCCCTTACTTCTTTCTCAAGGGAATATTTTTTAAATGCTTGCTTTATATATATTCATTTGCACGTTGTCTCCTCCACTAGTTGTAAGCTCCTTCAGGGCAGAAACTGCATTTTGCCTCTTTTTCTATCCCCAAACTCAGCACAAGTGCCTGCCACATAGTAGCCACTTAATATTTCTTGAATTGAATTAATAACTAACATTCATATAGCACTTCAAGTGCTTTACATGGATTACCTTATTGGATTCTCACAACAGTCCTGTGCTATAGGTGCTATTATTATCTCTGTTTTACAGATTAGGAAACTGAGTCAGATAGTAGCTAAGTGACCTGCCCAAGATCAGACAGCCAGTAAATGTCCGAGGCAAAATTTGAACTCAGGTCATCCAGACTCCAGACCAAAGAAAAATCGAACATTTTAGAATGTAAGAATTTGAAACGTAGTTAAAATGAGTATTAAGGATTTTTCTGTAGAGCTTCTTTATCTCTCTTTTTTTTCTCTATTCTCCACTACCAAGGACAGTGTTTGATAATTTAATTGAAATGTGAATAAGCAGATACATTGTAACTGGCGGTGGCCATAATGGAGCTTGCAGTTACTTTTACTTTCATGTTCAAAGAACTTAACCATGTCCATCCACATTCAGTCATTTCTTTCTCATTCAGAGCATATGCTTGTGGTTGGGGATGATGCAGCCCTCACTGTAAAGCTGGAAGCTGCCTGACTACCTTGACTGTCTTCCATTTGGAATTTTTGTCCATCAACAACATTATCTTCACTAGCTTGAACTGAAAGTAAGAACCAAAAAAAAAAAACACTTTAATGTTCCACTGCTGTTTGTGTTTTACCTGGTTTTACGGAAGTCACCTCATCTCCAATGCTTTCCACAATCCCTGCAGCCTCATGCCCCAGGATTACTGGGAGGGGGTAATACCATGACCCACTTATCATATGGTCATCAGAGCGACAGATTCCTGTTGCCACAATCTGCAAGAGAAGAAGAGGATGATGACACCTTTGAGAGTTTACAGGAACTCCTTGGGACCTATGCATGTCATTCCCACACCTCTTGAGTACTTGTTACTATATACAGTAACAGAACAACTTTGAGTGACTAAGTCATTTTGACTATTACAAATATCCAAATTAAGTACAAGGGACATATAAAGGAAGACACTATTTGGATCCAGAGAAAGAACTGATAAATAGAAGTATGCATAGAATAATTTTACATATACATATATACACACATATATATTTGTGTCCAATGGTAGCCATCTCTAGGGTGGGGAGGGGATGGAAGACAAATTTACATGATAACTTTATTATATATTCAAAAGCAATATCAAAGTGTGTATTATATATTCAAAAGGAATAGCAAATTGTACACAATAGATTTGCAGTTTCTTGTGCAATCATGTTTTTTAAAAATTCCACTGTTATGGAAGTGCTTCTTTTTTTTTTCACAAATTAAAAATACAATAGGCAGGTAAAAAAAGAAAATGATGATAACAGATTATGGTGACGATGTGGCATTATCCTTGTCATCATTGCCAGTTATCATCATGACTGAGTGATGCTTTGGAAGGATATACTATATTCAGAATCAAAGGACCTGTGTTCAAAACTTGACTCTGCTCCTTGGACAAGTCCTTTTACTTTTGCCATTGTAATTTCCTCAGCTATAAAATGTCTAGGTTGGACCAGATGCCCCTGAAGCTCCCTTCCATCTTGAAATGTAGAATCCCATGATCATTATTATCACTAGAAACTCTAGGGGTATACTCTACCCTCAGACAAATAACTATGACATCAGCTGGGAATAAGAATGAGTAGAGATGCAGACAAAGTATCAATGAAAATGTGATAAGAGCTTTCAGTGGGAGAGATTCAAAAAGGATTCATGGTGTCAGGGGCATCTCAGCTTGGCCAGGAAGGAAAAGTCCTTCAATGGGGCAAGTTCAAAGTTCAAAAAGGAGTGCTTTCCAGTAACACACAGTCTACAGAGGCAGGAAAGTGGGGGAGGAGATCATGGAACCACCAGCTGCGCCATGTGCCTAGAATGGAGACATCAAGAAGGTAAGGACTGGGAAATAAATCTGGAAAAGTAGGGTGAGGCCGACTCTAGAAGGCTTTACCTGATAGTGTATTGAGCCTGTATGCATTCAATAGGCAAGAGGAAACCACTGTAATTTTTTAAACAAATCATGTCATGGCCAGATTGGAACTTTAGGTATATATATTCTTTTTCTTTTTTTCGGGGGGAGAATTTTTAAAAATTAAATTAATACTTAATTTTTTCAATTACTTGTAAAAACAATTTTTGACATGTATTAAATTTTTTTTTGAGTTTCATACTGTCTCCCTCTATACCCCTCTGCCCATTGAGAAGCAAACAGTGTGTATAGGTTACACATGTGCAGTCATGCAAAATATATTTACATGTTAAGGAATATTTATTTTTGCATTAACTCTGTGAGGGAGACAGTGAATGCATTCTTTACTTCACCTCACAGATGATGACATCAGTACTCTAAGAAGTGACTGTTAAAAATTCTCATAGCTTGTAAGTGACTTCAGTCCAGTTCTTCTGACTTGTTGGCTACTGTCTGTTTTGCCCTACAGTAGGCAGTATGGTAGAATGGAAGATCATTGGCTCTGAATCAGAAGACCTGGGTTCAAATCTTGCTTCTGATGCTTGCTTTACTTTCCCTGTTACTTTGGGCAAATTATCCAACCTTTCTGGGCCTCAATTTCCTCTTCTGGATATTCTAGATGGCCTCTGAGGCCATTTCCAGCTTTTGACCTATAGCTTATATATCAATAGCTTCTTTTGTAGTAGCACAGAGATTCTCACCAGGCTGTTTTTGGGATGGTGGGTGTGGGAGGAAGGACTCCTGATCAGTTTTCCCACCCCATGTAAGTGCAAAGAATATATAGCTTATCTCTGGGCATTGTTCAACCCCCAGACTTATTCACTATCCATTTCCTTCCCTGAGGTCCAGAGGTATAATGTTTCAGAATTTGCAAATGATCTGTGTTCTTTCCCAGAAAAAAAAAATCAAATTTACTGTTAGAACTGCAGCCAATGTTGAACATAGTATCATTCTATAACTTGAGGGTTTCTTTCTTTTCTTTTTTCTTTTTTACCTTAATTCGAACTTCATTGGCCTTGGGTGGGGCAACTTCTACTTCCTCAATGGACAAGGGTTTGTTGAGCTCCCAAAGAACAGCAGCTTTGCATTTAATGGCCTGGAAATGAAACAGAAATGAGGTGAGTGGCTAGTGATCCCCTCTGCTAAATAGTATTATCAACTTCATACACCTGAGAGGCAGTTTGAGTTTGAGATGTCCATGAGACGTAGATGTGAGAAATATCCAGCAAAGGGATGGACATTTGGTGCTGGAATTCAAGAAGGATATGTGAGCAAGATATGTAGATTTGGGAGTCCTGGCTGCATGCTTGATCACCAAATCCTGGGCAGCCAGGGATGTGCTGCAGCCAGCTCACACTTGCTGATAAATTTTTAGTGTGAGTTTTATACCTCAGAGATCAGCAAAGCTAGTAATAAGGGCTTGCTTTAGTATTTTCTTGATTATCTAGACTAAGAAAATGTTAATAATATAGATTAAGTTAGAAAGTATGGCATGATTTTTGCAGAGTTCAGAAACCCAGTTGTTAAACATTTAGTAGTACAATCTTGACAGGAGCTGATGAGATCTCTCTCTCTCTTTCTCTCTCTCTGTCTCTCTGTCTCTCTCTCTCTCTCTCTCTCTCTCTCTCTCTCTCACACACACACACACACACACACACACACACACACAGAGACTGTTATTAACGTTTTTTGTGGATCATTATACAAAGGGTTATGGGTAGACAAATATTTCTACCCTGAGGTACTATAGTAAATTGTCTCTCCCACTAGAAAGTTAGTTGTCTCTAGGAAAAAGGATAGTGAAGTCAATACATTTATTAAAGTGCCCACCATGTACTGTGTTAAGCACTAAGAATACAGCATCTTTTGATATTCCAGAGAAGCTAATGGATCCCTTTTGAGAATGATTTTAAATGCATAAAATGAAATACATAGAATTACAAAGAAAACCAATTATATTGACGTATGTTATCAAAATATTTTTAAAAAAAAACCTCAGAGAGTGAAGGTGAAGAACCTGAGAGAGAAAAAAATAGAGGGAGAGGAGAGAGAAAGGAGGAAAAAGAAAGAACCTTGGGATAAACACACACATAGAAGATCGACTTGGATAGATGACTCCTTGATCCAATCCTGCCCCGGATATATCTGGAGTATATCTCTAGACAACTATGGCTGATTTTGTAATTCTCAGGTCAGGAAAGTCTTTGATCAAGATATTAATTTTACATTAGACAGTAATCTTGGAGGGCCTCTTGTGTGTGTATTTACATTAACTTTAAAGTTTTAGCAAAACGTGGAAATTAAATCAGATGATTTCATTGGAGGCATTGCAGTATAATAATCTCTAAATTATGACTCTAATACTTAGCACGAAGTCAGTGGTAATCTAAAGTAGCAGAAATTTCAGTATTGAGTCTTCCAATGTTAATCAAGCCAAGTCATGTAACATTTACAAAGCCTCAGTGTTCTCATGTGTAAAATGGGCATAGCAATAACTAGAACCTTCTTCAAAGGTTTGTTGTAAAGATCACAAGATGAAGATGTAAAGGGCTTCTATCAAAATGCCATTACTATTATTAAATCATTCCTATAATTACAATTATCAAATTGCTATTTGCTATTACTATTATTAAATCATTACAATTATTAACAAATTACTCTTTACTATTAATAATATTAAATTAGTATTTACTATTATTATTGTCATTACTGTTATGAAAATACTATTTACATTATTGTTATTAAATCATTCCTATTATTAAATGACTTTATTAATTACTAAATAATTACAATTATTACTATTACTGTTTACTACTGTTATCAAATCATCTATTATTAATTACTATTTATTATTACTAAATTATTACTATTACTATGTACTATTCTTCTGAAATCCTTACTATTCTTACTAATACTGTTATTAAATTGTTAATTACTACTATTATTATGAAATCATTCCTTTTATTAAATTACTAATTACTATTACTATTACTAAATCATTATTATTACTGCTTACTATTATTACTATTAAACCATTACTGTTATTTAATCTTTAAATGCACTCATGTTCACACATAAAATGCTTTCTCTATATCTATCCTCCACTAAAGTCTTAGGCTGATATTTCATACTGCTGTGAACATGTCCGTGGATGTTGGGGAGCAATGTGAAAAGAAAATAGGTTCTGTCCTTTTCCATCCTCTTTCTTCCTCTTCTTTCCCTTGTCTTCCTCTCCTTCTCTCCTACCAGAACTAGTGCTCAGGTATAAACACATTTAATCAGTATTTGTGGGCCGATGATGAGGGTCTAGACACTCCAATTTCCACTGCTTTATGGTCTTAATGATTTGATGCTAGGTGTTAGAACAGTAAGCCATATATAATGCAGTCCTCCCAGTTCCACTAATGAAATAATGTCTCTGATTCCAATCCCTTGTTTTCTTTAAGACACGAACACAGTGATAGAGGAGATAAGATGAATTATGTTCTTCTAATGTAAAGTAAGCTTCTTCATGAAAAGACTTCACTGAGTTCAGACTTAATCCCATCTGGTTTGGAGTTAGCTCCTTACATCCCTGTGCATTTCTTTTAGACATTGAAGGAGACAGATGTGAATGACTAGATACACAGGCCAGACATAATTGGAAAAAAAATACTAGTGGTACTTCAGAATTTTCTCTCAGGAAAGAAATCATACTTTGCTGATAATTATGTTAAAGAGTATCTTATTCATAGATTCAAACAATAACAGTGTATCTACCTCTTTAGGAATTATACTTAATAAGGTATTAGTAATGGTAAGTAAAGTTTCTGCTTACTTTTCCTGCTGTGGCCATTCTGTGGTCACGGTTTTCCCTTTGCTGTGCAGGTCAAAGGACTGTGCCTGAATTTCTTCTGACTCCCTAGCTGCCTCGTTGAGCAAAGCAGAAAGATCACAGGAAGCTTTGTCTCTACTGTGGATTAATATACTCTCTCAAACACATGACTTTGGGCCTTGAACCTCCTCCAAACGGCTGATCTTTCATTCTCCTACCTATGAGGCAATGAAATGCACTAAGACAATATTTGTTTGTGTGTCATGATTGTATTAAAAAAATCTCTGTAAATAATGCTTTTGTTGCTTTGCCTTTATTTTCCTTCCCCAGCCTTATTTGGCATCTAGATAAGATTAAGGGGAAAATGACAGTTAACTTGAAATATTTCAAGGGTCATCATGGCTGAGAGAACAAATTGTGATATTTGGCTCCACAGGAAAATGAGGATTAAGGGAACATAACTTTAGAACTGTATGTGACTGAAGAGGTCTCTCCAGAACCACCATTTTACGGACGAAGTCCAGATGAAGGAAGGAAAGAAGGAAGGAGGGGATGAAGGGAGAATGGAAGCAAGGAAGGGAAAAAGGAAAAAAAAAGAAAGGAAAAGGAGGAAAGAAAGGGATGGAGGAAACAAGAAAGAAAGGAAGGAAGGAAGAATGGAAGGGATTGGAAGGAAGGAAGAAAGGGGGGAGGAAGGAAGGAAGGAAGAAAGGAAGAGAGGAGGGAAAAAAGCATTTGTCAAGCACCTACTTTGTGACAAGTACTATGATAAGTGCTTTACAACTATGTCCTTTGGTCCTTTAAACCACCCTGAGAGGGAGTGCTATAATTCCCCACATTTCAGAGTTGCAGAGACAGAGACTTGCCTGGGCCACCTAGCTAGGAAGTATCTGAGGCTGGACTTGACTTAAGGTCTTCCTGACTCCAGCTCAGTGCTCTATCCACCCTGCCTGGCATAAGAGGAAGTAAATGGGATTAAAACGATTAGGACAGCTCTGTGACACAGTAGATAGTGTGCCAGGCCTAAAATCAATAAGATTCATCTTCTTGAGTTTGAATTTAGCCTTAGACACTTAGTAGCTGTGTGACCCTGGGCAATCACTTCACCCTGCTTGTCTCCATTTCCTCATCTACAAAATGAGCTGAAGTGGGAAACAGCAAACCATGCCAGTATTTTTGCTAAGGAAACCTCAAATGGGTTCACGAAAAGTCTCACATGACTGAGCAATAAAAATTAGAGCTATCCCCCCCACAAACAAAACAAAACAAAATGAATGAAGCCAAAGAGAGGAAATTCTACATAGGAAGCAGTATGTTCCTGTCTCAGACTTTCTTTTCCCTTCCTGAGGAAGCATTCACCATCCTCAGGTCTTCTGGGCATTTCCACTTGCCTGCTTAGTGCCTTCTTTGCAACTCCAAAGTAATAGACTTCACACTTGTCTGGCACTATATTGTTTACAAGGTGTTATCACACATTATTATATTCTGTCCTTAACAACAGCCCTGGGAGAGAGGCAGGGGATGCTGGGGCTGCCTGCATGACATTGTTACTATGGAACTGACCCTCAATCAATCACAAGTAATTAAGTGCCCATACTGGGCCAGATGCTCTATTAGGTTCCAGGAGATTTGTCTTGAGAAAGTGAGACTGTCATTCTCTATGGAATACCATTCTAAAGAAGACCTTATCTATATATCCTCATATATATGCATGTGCAACCTCCCACCTGGGGCCATTTACCAAATTTCCAGTCTTGTTAGTTAGGGGGCAGCTAGATGGTACAGTGGATAGTGTGCTGGGCCTGGTATTAGGAAGACGTGAGTTCAAGTCTGTCCTCAGACACTTATCAGTTGTGTGACCCTGGGCAAGTCACTTTGCCCTGTTTGCTTCAGTTTCTTCATCTGTAAAAGGAGCTGTAAATGGAAACAGCAAACCACTCTAGCATGTTTGTCAAGAAAACCCTAAATTGGGGGGTGTGGAGCCAAGAGAGCAGAATAAAAGCAGTGAGTTTCTTGAACTCTCCCCCAAACCCCTCCAAATACCTGTGAAAATGACTCTAAACAAATTCTAGAGCAGCAGAACCCAGAAAAAGATGGAGTGAAACAAATTTCCAGCCCAAGACACCCTGGATGGTTGATAGGAAAAGTCTATCATGCCAGTCTGGGCGAGGAGTAGAGTTCAATGTGAACATACAGGCAGAGACCAGAACTCAGAAAACCTGGGGGAGGCCCCAGGGGACTGAATCACAGGCAGCTGTGGTGGTTTCCATACTTCTCAACCCACAAATGCCAAAGACAATTTAGAAGGTCAGTAGGAAAGTTCTGTGACTGTAGTGAGAGAAAGCATGTTCGCAGCCCCATTCCCAGCATAACCCCAGGGCTCTGGCTGCTTCTGGAGCTCTCAGCCCACAGATGGAGGGGGGTTAGCAGTTGATCAGAGGGATTGCAGGGATCTCTTTGCTGGGGGAGGCAGGATGATGTCCCTTGCTTTGCCCATGCTTTGATCTGGGTAGCAGTCATGGAGGTGATCCTGGGTGAGAGAGAAGTGCTGGCCAGGTAAAGCTTATGGCATGGTACAGAGAGAATCCTCCTCACACAGTTTTCAAGGCAGAAAAGAGTGCTTATGGTCACTCCTGGACTAGAGCAGGCCAGGAA